GAAAGATTTTTTTCTTTAGTATTTATATAGCGATAATTACTTTGGAAGGAACATAAAGAAACTAACTATCTATATGGAATGATGTTTAAGTGATTTTTAAAGTCATATTAAATATAATTACTCAAACAATAATACTTTTAGAGATGATTTTTTCGTAAGTCTTCGTTTTATTTTACCATGTTTTGAGTAGGGGGAGGACGAACATAATTAAACAAGTGTTTATAATTTGCTTTCTTTCAAATGAAGGTGAAACGTTAGTAAGGGGGGGGGGAATTAAGAACCCGTAATAACAAGCAGATTAAGCTCCAAACATATGGAGGAGAATGTTTCAATATGTATCACCATATTTGTTGATATAGCTGTAAACTCCGCCGTAGCCTGGTCCAAGTCCAGGTAGAGAAAGGAGGGTTGGGATGGGGTTAGCAACCCCATCCTGTAAAAATGGCAACTGCAATGAGACCTCAAGGAGAATCAGCCGGAATGAATTTACGGAAAACACCAAGAATCGTCACACGGACCGAAAATTCGACAATGGAATATTTTATCGTTATAAAGCTTAGGATCGCTTCGGCAACTTCTTCAACAGTTGGACCAATATAAGATGGACTTAGTCGCCATACAGAGGGTAAGATGGAAAGGAAAGGAACTCCTTGAGAAGCGTACCCACACCATCTACTAAAACTTCCAAAAATAGCAACATCTTCTGGAGCTGGATTTGTCGTCAGTGGAAAAAACAGAGAATAGGAGATAGGTTTCCTACACGCTACACGTCTCTAGAATCTCCGTCCTTAGATTAAAAGGCAAATTCAGTAATTACACTATTCTCAGCTGCTATGCACCAACTGAATTATCATCTGATGATGGTAAGGGAGCTGGTCTTGGGGATTTTTAACAATAAAGTAGGTAAAGAACATGTCTTTAGACGGATTATAGGGAGTACAGCCTCCATGACATTACAAGTGAAAATGAAAGAATGCTTATCAACTTCGCTACCTCCAAATATCTGGTTATTGCAAGCTCACTCTTTCCAGCCAAAAGTTACCACAAAGGAACATATGCTCTGTTTTTTCGTATATTGGGATCCAGTTTGTTGTTACAGAAGCTCTCAGTCATAATCAGTTTATTAACTTCACTCTTTTGTGAATATATAGTCTAACCTATAAGAATTTATTTTGAAGTATTACAGTTACCTATAAGTGTAATTTGATCAGGATCTATTGCAGAGGTCAATAAAAACATAGCATAGCCATCTGATTTTTAACATGAAGTAACTTCATCTTCTTTACTTTTACCTGATGGTTGCATTCATTGTGCCATTAACTATATTTAAGAAATTTTCATTGACAGTAATTTTTACCATCAAATTTATTTAAAATTGTAAACTTAACATGATTGTCACTCATTTTTATGATAAAAGAACACACATAAACTTTTATACAGAAAAAAAAAATGTGTCTTCTAAATGAACTAAGCTTCAATGTATTTAAACACATTAAATTAAACCCTAAATTCATTTTAAATAAGTAAAAACGCAGTAAAGCTAAATGAAAGTACAAAGAACAATAACTTTTATTATGAAATAAACTTTTATTATTATCAAAAAAGTATACAGACATTCAGCTAGTAAAAATACAGCTATTTTTATATTTACAGAAATAAATATTAATATACTTATATGATGACATATAAAGAAATAAAATGAGAATAATTTATTTATTTGAAATGATCCATGATACAATAATGTCTACATATTATGACTGAATTTATCAAACTAATCAAAGTTGGAATTTCAAATGAACTATTTGATTATTTGAGATTGTTATTATAATTCTCATTGTGAGCTCTTGGTTTAATTCATTTGTAAAATTAAAAACAAATCTTATTTCAAGAAGTAAACATTACTATCCTCATGTAGCACAACAGCCCCTATCGAGTTCAGACTTCTACTAACATGAATCCCAGCCAAAAAAAAAAACTAATTTATCATAATTAAAAACAGTTTATTTTAACAAATCATTAATAACAGTTAAATAATTCTTATTTATTTAAGTATTGGAGGAGAAAACATTACAACTAACATCTAGTGTACTTACATTTTTACTTTCATCCAAACTAGCCTTCCACGAAGAATTCACTAAGACGAATAAACTAGGCATTAATTACTGAAAATAACTAACCACTTTATGGATAACTTTATTTGTTACATAATAAGGAGCATTTAGGATTTTATGGAGGATTTTGGATTGGATACAGAAAGAATTTGATGTTTTTGTAGAGCCCCAAAGCTCAATACCATATGTCCAAATGGGCCTGATGATGGTCGTGTAAATGAGTTTTTTGTAGAATATTGGAAATTTAGAGTGTTTGTCAAGTAAATGTTGTAGTAGTCAGAATCTGTTGGCAGTTTCTTGTCTTTAAAGTCTAGTATGAGGATTCCAGGTAAGGTGTTTGTCAAGGAGTCCTAGGTAACGGATCTGTTAGACAGGGATCAATGGAATATTGTTAAAGGATACGTGGGACAGGATATTGTAGGTTTACGGCGGAGAGTAAAAGTAATTTGTTGGGATTTTTTTGGATTATTTTTAATTCTCCAATTTGCACACCATTCTTCAATGGCTGAATTGTGTGACTGCAAGGTTTGTGATGCAATAGTTGGTTCATTATTGACAGACAACTAACATGTGTCATCAGCATAGGTAGTGAGGACGGTTGAAGGATATCAGCTGTATATACTGTGTAAAGGATGGGACCTAAGATGCTCCATTGAGGAACACCAGCAGACTGGGAAAAGAGAGATGAATAAGCAGAGTTACAATTTACTTTAAATATTCTATCTGTGAGGTAAGAGCGAATTAATAGGAAATATGTAGGGGGCAGGAATTGACGGAGTTTGTACAGTAAACCTGCATGGCAGATTCAATCAAAAGTCTGTTCCACATCGAGAAAAGCTGCTGTGCAGTACATTCTGAGCTCCAGTGTTGAGGAACTGACATCCACCACACGAAGGCACTGCTGAATAGTGGAATGAGATATATGAAATCCAAACTGATGGTCAGGAATCAAGTTATTTGAGTCTAGGATTGGGTAAAGGTGTTGTAATATAAGTTTTTCTAGTATTTTGCCTAGGATGGGAAGTAGGGAGATAGGATGGTACGAGGATGGGTATTCAGGTAGCTCTTTGGATTTTAGAGTCATTTTTATTATGGAGAATTTCCAAGGATCCGGAAAATAGGTGGTTCTAAGCACGGCATTTTATATATATATATATATATATATATATATATATGTAAGTGAGAAGAAGGGCAGCTTTTCGAGGAAGTTGCTTTAGGATTAGGGAGATGATGAGATCGTGACCAGGAGCTTTTTTGGACAGTAATTTCTGAATTATGTTAATTATTTCAGAAGGATGGAATGCTTTAGGAAGAAGTGACATTTGGAAAGGGATAGTAAGCTCTGCTTCAACATGTTCAACATGATGAGGGTTAAAAGTTTAGAAAAGATGTTCACCAAATATTTGAGTCTTTTCTTCATCGGATCTTGACCAGGTCAGGGATTCAGTGAGGGGAGGACGGTTAAAGGTTTTGAAATTGAGTAGCTTTTTGGTGGTCATCTATAATGATATGTCATTGGTAGTTAGGTTTTCTGTAAAGTTCTGAATTTTAATTTTTCTGATTTCTATTTTAAGTTTGTTTGTCAATTTATTGTAAAGAATTTTGTTCGATGGATATCTGGTTTTATGGCACTTTGTTCTTGCCCGTCATTTTTCTGTTAGTATGTTAAGATGATAAGACAAATTGGTTTCTCGGTAATTTCTAATTTAAGTTGCGACATGTTGTTATTAATGGTTGTTTCTACAGTTCTTGTGAATTCTTCAATAGCTGAATCAATCTGCATTTTAGTTTTTAACCAAATATTTAAATCCAGACTATTTTCTAGGTCATGCCAAAAATTGTCCTGTAATTAGTGTTGTAGGAGAGGTTTTAGGAATAGGATTTGAATGCATGAGAAGCAGAACCGAAGAGTGGTCTGATGAAAGGTCGTTTAAGGATTTGATAGTATATTGAAAGGAAGGAATTTGGGATGTAATGATTATATCAAGGATGTTGTGACGTTTCTTAGAAAATGTAGGCCAGTAAGCAGGGTTCTTGGGAGGCAAAAATGGAAACTATTGGAGGATGTGACACGGGAAAGTATCCTGCCACGAGTATTGGACATTGCGCATCCCTACCGTTGTTCTTTGGCATTGTAATCTCTCCCAGCAATAAAGCACGGACCAAAGGATCGGAATAAGGAATCAAGATCAATAATGGAAAGGAAGTTACCAGGCGGGTAGTACACAGCTGATAATGCTATATTCACTGGAAGAGAGGATAATGTTATAGAGGTTGATTCGATATTGTATGTTGGAGTGGAAGGGATCAGGGAATGAGGATTTATGAACAAGGATACAAGAACCTGCATGGGAAGTATTGTCTGATCTGATCTGTATTTGATGTAGTCATGTATGTGAAATTGTGTAAGCGATGTAAAATGGGTTTCAGTCAATAAGGCTACGTCTATGAGATTTTTGTGAAGAAATATGTCAAGTTCGTCTCGATGATTCTGTAAACCATTTGCATTCTACAACAGGATAACTGGGGTCTTACTGCTCATCGTGAGGTATTGAACGTGATTTCTAAAAGGAGTCGGGTAAGGAGTGTGATGAGAGGTTTGATGGTATCTTGAAGATCATGGAGGAAGGATGCAAAAACTAATACTATGTCGGTTAGATTATGGTTGGGATAGGAGTAGAAAGTGCCCTGTGGTGAAGAAACCTGCCTAGGTGAGGGTAGGACCCTCTTTTGTGATCTCTGAGTATGTTCCACATTTAATGGAGTTTCTGATGAGAGATTGATCTGCGAGGAACATTGGGATGAGTCAGGATGTTTGGGATTGAACTGTGGTAAAGCCTGTAGAGGTAACTTGACCCTTAAGATTGCATTTTTGGAGGATTTAGTGTTTTAATGCATTTTTAGTGTTTTAAATTGAGGATGAGCAGTCTGAGGCTTAGGATGGGGAATTTGGGCCTTAGGATAAGAGGTCTTAGTTTGAGAATTAGAGGACTGATGTAAGGAGGCTTGAAGAGCCTGATGTTGAGGTAGTTGATTTATGGCGACTGATGAATAAGTTGTCTTGCTTTTAGTGTTTAGATGTTGTTGAATTGTATTCGCTGTCATTATTCACTGTGTCACGTTGTTCTTCGTTGATGGACCGGAGTTTGATCTTCGGAAACTGCTTTTTTTTTGTATTTTAAAGGCTGCATTTAAAGTTTGTTGACGCTGCATGCTTTTATAAACTAGTTAGCTGGAATTAACAACCAATAGATCCCAATCATTTAATTCCTACCTATTCTCCCTTTCTGCTTGTGACAATTCCCAGTGGAATATCACTAGAAAAAATTCTAAAATTCCAACAAATGGTTCATCCCAATTGTTGAGATGACGGCTCTTGGGCATCATTAGGTGAAGTCAATAAAGAGTTTGTCAAACACCTTTCCTTTACACCTCCTTCAAAATTCCACTCTCAACACAACAATAGAATTCTTTATATATCCATTCTCTTTACCCCCTAAATCAGTAATTCCTTTAGAGGCCAAACACCATTTGCAAAACCTAGCTCCTCCTAAATCTTCTGGTTATAATCTTCTTACCACTTAGATTCTTCGACAACTTCCTTCCAAAAATATTGTATTTCTCACTTACACATACATTAATAGCATTTTACAAACTACCCAATTTTCTCTCATATGGAAACATTCCATTATCATACTTTTTCTAAAGCCTTCCAGGATCTTGACATCCTCTAGACCTATTAATTCACTCTCAATTTTTTCAAAAATCTTTTAAAAGATCCTTCAAAAAAAATCCTACACTTTACAGAATCCCAAAATCTACCTTCCCATCAGTTCAGATTTTATTCACATCATTCCAAAGTTCAACAAGGACTCTAATTTTTTGATCATATTTCCTCAGTTCTATAAACCAAGTAACTTGCTGATGGCATCCTATCAACCAATTCTGATCATCAAATAGCATCCTTAAATCTACAGACACCTCTTCCTGATTGAACATTAGTGCATTAAAGTAAATGAATCCAAATGCAAACAAGTCACCTTCACCATTTAACGCATATCCTGTCAACCAATTCATGTTAACTCCATACTGCTTTCCTTCTCAGACACTATCCATTATCTTGGATTTTCTTAAACAGAAAAATATCGTGGAAACCACCTGCTAGACATAGAAAAGAGCTTAATCAACATGACCTACTATATAGTCTACTGAATAGAAAATCTCAACTATTAGTTGAAAACAAATTACTAATATACAAGAAAATCCTGAGCCTACTTGGACCAATGGACTAGAACTATGAGGGACAGCTTTTTTTCCAACATTACATGCATCTAATCCTTCCAGTTTTAAGTCCTTTAAACAACAGTCAATGCCCCATCCTATGTAAACAATAAAGCAATACATCATCATATCCCATTATATCCCATCTGTTCTAGACCTTATATCAGATTTTTTTTTCACAATTTCACTAAAACCACACGCATCATCTAAATTTTCTATCTAGCTCCACGCAGTCCAACAATGCTCATCAAAGATTGAAATGGCAATAGCCCTGTGACATTGTTACAAGTGAAGCAGTTGAGAGTAGCACCGAGATCTCCTGGAGTCCTGCTTTCCCCTCCACAGATGGAGGGACAAGTCTGGTTCAGAGTTCCCTTAGCTGAATGTAAATTGCGCATGTATATTTAATTGTGCATCTTATGTCTGTGTTTAAGATGTTATTTTACTTTACTTTATTTTTATATATTATATATACTTTTCCAATATTATTATTTTGCTTATATTTTATTTAATTTATCAACATTTTCTAGTAAAGGTGGTACAAATGAATTTTTCTCATTGTAACTAATTTCCTTATTGTGATAGAATGTTATACTACTTGATAAAATTATTTCAATTTTATTAATCTGATAGTGAATTCTAGTGATAAATAAGATTTCATTTTTTAAAGCTTCCCAAATACTTATAAAAATCATTGGCATTATAAATAGTTAAATGATGCATGTAAGTAAGTAGCTCTATATTTCTAGATAAGTGGATTAATTTGTAAAATCCATAAAACCAACTTTTGTCGTTTGATAGTTTAGCAAGGAGTATCTTGAATATGATTTTATTGACTATTTATACAATTCAAGAATTTTAACAAGGCTCTTATATATGAATTATTAGAAAAAAATCTATTTAATGGAGGAAGCGTATATATTTAACAGAAAAAAAAAAAGAGGAATTATATTTACAAGGTCAAAAGTGAACAACCATGAATAAAAAAGTAATAACAACTACAAAATGTCATGCTTTTAACTTTTTTTGTTTCGTTTGATAAAAAAAAAAAAAGAACAAAAAAATGGAATTAATAGACGGAAATAAATAGAATGAAGTGATGTAATATTAAGGTGAAAAGGAAGTGGATAGGTAAATAGAAATATAAAATAAATAAAAAAGTGAAAATTAAAATAAAACAATAAAGTTTTTATTTCAATTATAATTGTATAACATATACTGATTGATATTTATTTTTTAGGCAATGCTCACTGAACATACAGTGTGGAAGTAAGTGCAGATCAATTATTTGCAATTAAAGAGGTAGTGCTTTATAATTTACATTATAACATCAAACAACCATTCCAATAAAAATAAAAATAATGTAATACTTAATAATGATCTTGTCCTCTGAAATAAATGGTTCTTCTCACAAGATAGGTTCCCTAATTAAGTAGAATGTATTAACATAGTTTTTAAGGCTTAAAAATTTGATCCATATTTCTGAATTTATTGTGAAAAGCTGACCAATATAAACATAAATAGTATCAAGATTAATGCAGAAAATGATAATCAGAACTTTTCACAGGTATAAATGTAATACTTTTATTCAACTTTTTATAACAATATTTAGAATAGATACAAATACATTTGAGCTGACAGACGGGAATCAGAACTAAACCAAATACTTTGGTACAGCTGATCCAACCCAATCACATCTCTAATTGATCTCTAATTGAACTGTAACAATATTATTTTAAAACTATTAGATATTATGGAGGACAAAAATAGGACAGATTAATGTATGAAAAAAAATAATTCCAATGATTTTCATTTCAACAACCACATGATTAGTTACGGGCTCAATGTATATGTAAATGCAGGGTATCCCGAAGATAACAGGAAACATTTTAGTGGGTAATAGCAGACCTCAAGAGCAACAAAAATTTTATGTAAACTATGGTTCGATTTTTTGGAGAAAATTGAAAAAAAATATTTTTAAAGCTCTTAACATTTTAAAGTTTCACTATCAACCACTTAAATGTTTCCTTTTACTTAGAGGATACCCTGTACATACATATATAAATCCCATGATAAAGTATGCTTTGAACTTTATTAACTTCATACATAATATAAATTTGAAACCTTCATTTTAGATAATATTCTGAAACAGAATTATAAGCAATTAAATTACATATAACAGAAATGAAAACAAGAATATTAATTGAATGAAGATACCAACCTTCATTACCAAACACAGGGATTATAACTCATGATTGGTGTAGTTAATACAACTCATCGGTTACTAACGAGGACCAGATTTTCGAGTAAAATAAAACCCTTAATATGTAGATATAAAAAAAAAATTACCAATACAACCAACAGAGCGACTAAGGTTTAGTAATTTGTAAGAAAGTACTGTTTCTTGGTCAACAATCATTCAAGAAAGTGATTTGACCGAGATCAACCTCAACCATAAGGTTTGTCCCCTAAGTTAATTATTTAATTAAGAGTAAGCACTTTATAGAGTGTACACAATACACAGCTGCTGTAACAGAATAACTAATTATATGGCATAGCCCCAGACTTGAACGCAGGACATAGAGCACAGGACTGCTTTAATGTCTTACTCAATGAATTACCTATGTACCCAAATAGGTACATATATATGTAATTAATTTTCACAATCATGTAAAAAAGAATGAGAAATACAATATGTAAGAATAGGAATCTACAAAGTTGATTTTAAAAATTAATAAATAAACATATAAGAAAAAGTTAGCAATTCATGAGCTTCTTCAGTCTCATCTTCAACTTGGCAGACAGCTCTCCATATACTAAGCTCATTGTCAAAGTGGGGGAAAACAAGGGAGGTTACAAGGATTGTTTTGCCTGGTTTTTAGAGGAATACAATCAAGGATTCTTAGGGTTGTTTAAGGACATTTATGGATTTCAGGTAATCTGAGAGATGGATATGGTTATTCCAGGAAAGGTTCTGATTAAAGAGAACTTATAGGTTTATGTCTCTATGGAAAAAATGGATGGGGCGGTTATGGAGTTAAAGTAGAGGAGAATAAGGAAGGGAACTAATGAGGGGGTCTGACCCAATTACTCAGAATAGCCTTAGTTTAAACGCATTCAGCTTTAACTCATTTATTTCTGTCCATCTGTTGATGCAGTCGACATCCTCATGTAGCTAGCTAGCTGTCGGTTAGCCTGAGGCATCTCAGAAGGTTGGAATGATTGGAAAATTTGGAATTAATATTATAATGATATTTATTTCAATAAAATATATATAATAAAATATTGATTTTTATTGAGGAGATGGTGGGAGGTGAAAGAAAGGGTGGTGAAATTCAGCTTAATCCTACTAGCAAAAATCCTAGTTTCGCACTTGTAACTTAAATCATTTTTCAGACTAAGATAAGAAATTTATCAACAGTTTTCAACCCTTACTTAATTTTTTTCTTATATCTGTGGATCTGGCCATTGAAACATTAATATATTTTCAAGTCAAATAAATGTGGTCAGATCATTTTTGTAATAATCGTTTTTGTAATTTATTGCAAGAAAAATAAATGATCTAATGGAAATAATGGATAAATATAAATAAAGGATCTAAATACAGATCATCCAAAATATTTCTTTATTTTTTAAAACCTTCTAGAAAAAGTGTACCCACTATATTTCTATATTTTTTTAGTTTATTTCCATATTCTTTTTAAACTTATAACTGCTTCTTCTTCCTAGCAATGATCGAATCACTTATCCTAATGATGGACAGCATTGCACTATAGTTCTTAACATCTATATTTGTATTAAGTTTTTGTTACCTCTTTTCGACATTATTTAAAAACTAAAAATAGCTCTGTAGGACTAGCTAGGCACGTGTAAAAAATTTCTTAAAAAATAATGACATGGCGAAGATGTTGGTGGAACCTCATATTCTCATATTATGGTGCGCCACGTTTTTTAACGCAATTACCGACAGATATTAAATCATTGATAATTTTCAAAG